AGAATTACTGTTATATAATTCCTGTGGGTATATATTATACTGTTATACTCGTATATACATTCCTGAGTTCATACATTATAATTCCAACAATTTATAGTCAAAATTCAACGTAAAAAGAAGGCCATGAGCCTCAAACTTGTGGCTACAAAAGCAGATGCTCTAAACAACTGAGCTTTCCAGCTAATTTTGCACATATTAAAATGCTAAAATAATTTTATAAAGAACAGTGTTGGGTTAACATGGCATTAATATAAATTTTATGCAAAACAATTAAGTAAAAAGTGTGCTAAATCTTAATTATCACAATGAGAATTATAACAATGAGCATTATATGTAAACAATCGACGTAGATGGAATGAAGCAAAAAACCAAGGTGTGATGGAATGAAGCAAAAAACCAAGGTGTGAACAAATTTTCCTTATTTTCATGGAACTTTTTGCAATACACTTTTCACAGTTAGGTCTACATTGTAAATGAGTCAATCTGTAAAATGAGTAAAAATATATGGAATGGAGACGATCTAACTAATACTAAACGCTTATTAAAATTTCATAAAATATTACAGTGCTAAATAAGGCTTCTAAAATCTCAATGGTTCTTTTGGTCTCATACTTCTGGAGATATAAAACAAACAAGATATAAAATCAATATCATGAAGTGTTTACTTAAACCGTCTAAAGTTGTCACTATTTTTATTCTGATACCTAGATTTAGTTGTACTAATACCTAGGTTTTAGATATTACAGAACTCCACGACACCAACATGTTAATACTCCATATATCAATTAAAATCTCATTGAAAAACTTATGTGAAGAGATATGGAATTTGTCATGAAACTACTGGACAACCAAGTATATAGATGCCCTGCTCTCATGTATTCCATTAACCCTGCATGGTCCTAGCACTATTAATTCATAATTCGTGTCCATTATGTGATTAAGATCATTTAGGGGTTTAATATTTGTTTATATTGAGTTGACATTGGAAACCTTGCATCACCACCCAGGCAAAAGCCTCTCCAAATAATGAAATAATACCAGATGTTACTCCAGGCTTGATACCAGATGTTGCCTCATAAGTTTAGACATATGACATAAATGTGTTCAAATGAAACAATCTTGAATGAAACATTTGACCAGTTTGAGTTTGAGACAGTACCACTACTATGGAAAACCATGCTGAAGATAGTTTGAACTGCACCTTAAAAGTCCATAGCCATTATTATTTTCCTCGGAGTGGAAGATCATTCACTATACAGGTTCGGATTTGACCAACCTACTAATGACACTTTTAATTAGACCTTAAGCAATACAAAACAATCTATTCTTAAGCAATGAAAAACCTAATATTAAGCAATAAATTTGCTAAACTTCAAATAATTAGCAATAGCAATAAATTAAAACAAACTTCGAATAAGCTTTTTCTTAAAATGATAGGATTCAAGATTGATTTCAGTGCTGGTAGTATTGACCATGGCAATACTACACTATGTTCAATTAAATCTCTGAATCATCCATATTGCTCTACTGAGAGTATCAAATACTCTGACGGACAGACCTATTTAGCAAATCATAATATAGAATGATCTCTCCTTAGTTCAACTCCAAGTAGAGACATGTATGTTGTTATGCATATAAACAAAGAAGAAATCCAATAGATAAAGGATGATCAGCATTCTTTATATGTACACTCGGCCTAAAATGCAACATGATCACTATTCATCCATGCCTTTAGAAATCTCAGAAGCTACCACAAGGCCTTGTTTCTCAATGTTTGCACGAATCCTCCACACTTAATGGAACAAATGGGTTCAGAAAGAATACACTCGTGTAAATCAAGCTATCCATACTACAATCAGACGCTTAAGGCTCCCAAGATGCCCCCCCTCTCCTTTAGCATTACCAAAAATGTTATATCCTTTTCATTAATTTGGTCAATTTTGAATATTCACGTTAACCTTTTCTTAGGAATTTGAG